CTTGGTACTTTAAATAAAAGTGGTTTTATTCCTGACTATATATTATTTACATATAGAAAACGTAGATATTCAGATACTCTCTTGTATATATACGTCTCTACATGCAAGCATGTATCTTGCTATTGAAGTTAACTTTTCCCTTTGTGGACTTTCCTTTGGGGGCTCTTCAATACTACCATACCGTGGCATTATTAACTCATCTGTGGAAAGTCCTAATGATGTTGAAAAGTACCTATTAAATAAACAAAGTGCAGATGTGGTTTTCTTCTTTTATTCTTTGAGGTTTGAATTACATTGTAAGAGAAATGCAAACACTTCCTACAGCATGCTGTGTCTGTTCAGTGACTCATGGGGTGATTGTCTACAATGCAGGCTTTGCATGGGGAGATTTTAAATTTCACTTAACAATTTTTATTCCATGCATTTATTTATTCCTGTGTGGGGTGTGTGCATATGGGGTGTGTACATGTCACAGTACATGTGTGGAGGTCAGAGAATACCTTCCAGGAGTTGGTTCTCTGCTCCTACCCTGTGGGATCCTGGGTTAGAACTCAGGTCAGCAGGCTTCACTTGCTAAGCCTTATTGTTGGTCCTTAAGTCTCACCTTTGACTTCTGGTATTTTCTTAAATAGATTGAGCTTGACCTCACCATTTTTATCTATTTAAAACATAAAGGTGTCCTGGTAAGACCCAAAAGAGATGGCGTTCTGAGCCGAGACCCATAGTTTTCTTTAGTTCTTCTGTGAAAGGCAATGAGTCAGAAGATGCCAGACTTGAGGTGGGAGAGAGAGGAATGCATTTTTTCCACATTATGCTATTATGCAAGCAAAGGCGTGGTTAATATCCACATACTGAATAGGAAATAGTGTAGGGAAAGATGATTAATTTCCCTGGCATACTTTGTAGCTTGTTTCCATTTTTAATAAGATATTTCTAGAATGTGGTGATACATTATATATGATTTATTAAAGTTTGCCTGAGGATTCAGAAAGCAAAATCAGCCACAAGCCATAGAAGCCAGGTATACACCTTTAATCCCAGGACTCAGGATTAAGAGATAGATGGATCTCTGTTAGTTCAAGACCACATTGACTACACAATATTTATCCAGTCCCAAAGAGAAACAGCTCATGCAAAGATGATCTCAGCACTTGGGATCATACACCTTTAATCCTAGCTCTGGATAGGTATTTAAGACAGGAACAGGGTTTCAGAGCTGGCATTGATTCTTTAGCCACATTGAGTATAGGGCAGCATTCTGAGATAGTCTCAGGATTCTCTCTAGCCACGCTGAGGAAAGGCAGCATTCTGAAGCTTAGTGAAGAGCTCATGGATCAGCCCTTTTAGCCTGAGCTAGGAGTAAGAGCTAGTGGCCCAATGTTTTGCTTTTCTGATCTTCAACTTGAAGCTTGAACCCCAGTATCTGTCTCTGGGTCATTTAATTTTCATGAGACACCAGAACAATGAAACAGAACCAAGTTAGGATATATGAAAGTGATACATATAAAGCTAAACAGAATCCTTAAAGTCATTTACTACTTGGAATTTATTAGCCTCATTCTTACTCCTTCTCATTCCCTGTAAACCAGGCAGCTTAAATAGATAATAGAGTGTAATTTGTGTATGTCTCCCCTGTTATAGGTTAACCTTGTAGATACTGCACCAAGTTAGGCACTTTAAGAAGGATGTAGATACCTTTGTGTGCTCTATTTTCCTCTTATGTTCCAAGGCCTGATTGACAGGTTCTATTTGTCTGAGAACTACTGTATCGTCAGAGTATCACAAGACAAATAAACATAATGTTTGAGTAGATAAATGCAAAGTGAGCCATGATGATGAATATTGAACATAACAACCAAACAAATATTAAATATATACATATATATGTGTATATATATATATATATATATATATATATATATACATAGATATGATTTACAGAAACTATGTTGTTTTATTACTACTTAGTAAATTTCCCTGCTGAGTATTTTATAAATACAGTTGTTAAAAAGTTTATACAACCAATCTAGGAAAGTGACTCTGGAACCCTCATGAAGACCCTAATCTACAAGGACCCAGATCTCTTCTTTCCAGTGTGGGGCCCTGATGCTCAGGTTTGAGTATTAACTGGATGACAGACGGCTTTTCTACAGCTACTGGGAACCAGAGCAGAGGTCATACTTGGAAGACTTCCGAAAGAACAACACTCCTCTGCTTTAGTGGGTGTTGCCAGCTTTTCCCAGTGAGCACACACTGAGCAGAATAGAGCACAGGCCAACATTTACTTCCAGTATATACCCAGTTGCTGGGCTAGGTGCTATGCTTCTAATGTTTTGAAGAATCTTTGCTATTAAAGAACTATAATCAATCTGAGTGCTTGTCAGTGGATGAGCAGATAAAAAAAAATCTCCTTCTTTCTCTCTCTCTCTCCCTCTTCTTCCCCCCTCTCTCAAACACAAATACTACTCAACCATAAAGAAGTTCTGTGATTTGTGACAATACAGATGAACCTTAGAGGCACACATGATATGAAATAAGTCAGGAGTCCAAAGACAAATGTTACATGATCAACTTTGTGTACATTGTATAAAAAGTCGACCTTGTAGAGATAGATAGAAGTAATGATTAATAGAGACTGAGGTGGGAAAGAGAAGGGGTTAGGAAAGAAGTTGGTCATTGGTACAAAGTTACAGTTAGGAGAGGTAGATTTTGTCATACCATCGTACAGTAACATGACTACCATCAATAGTAACAGTCTATATCTCAAAAAACTTAGAAGAGATGATTTTCCCTTATTTTTATTATATAATAGTTGAAGGAAGGATTTTAATGTTTTACTACCAAGACAAGAAAAATGTTTTGAAGTCATGGGTATACTAACTGCCATAATGTTCATGCAGTGTGCGTGTTAGTTTTTTGTCAACTTGACACATATTTGCATCATCTGGAAGAGGACACCTCAGCTGAGAAAATGCCTCCATCAGATTGGTCTGCACATAATTCTGTGGGGGCGTTTTCTTGATAAAGGATTGACGTGTGATGGTCCAGTCCACCCTTGGCAAGAAGCTCTGGGTGTATAAACAAAAACAAAAACTTGAGGGAACCATGGGGAACAAGCTAGAAAGCAGTGTTCCTCCACGGTCTTTGCCTCCAGGTTCTTGCCCGGACTTTCTTTCTTGATGAACTACAAGCTGCTATAAAGACCATTTCAATCTATGTTGCTTTTAGCCATAATATTTACCTCAGCAACAGAAAGCAAATTAGAACAAGCATATAGAAGTAACATATCATACTCCCACAGATGTGTATAACACACATATGTATGTGTATATCTTGGGCTGCCCAAAATCAGCTGTTGAGAGAGAGGAAGTCGGCAGAGAACCTGTGTGAGTGCTACACCACAGACACCAGAGCTCGTTGTTTCTTGTTCCCACAAGAATACTTTCCAAGGAGGGAGCTTTGAGTACAAGGAAGAGGAAGGCTTTTAACTTCAGCATTTCTGTTGGTAATCCATAAGCTAGGGGTGGTTTGCTTAGAGAGAAAACACCACCAAAAGTCTAGAGGAGGAGACATATCTGCTGTCACATCTAAGTATGAATTAATACCCAGATTTGAATTTGCAGATTCCTCCCCCTCCCACATCTACCTGAGTTAAACAATGAGACAATAGCAGAGGACGTTTTGGGGATGCTGTTGAAGAACTAGACCAAAAAGGAGTTTTAGAGACCTGGGTGGAAAATGAGAGTTTGGCTGCTAGGAGACAGGAGGGACCAGAGGTTTCTGAGATGTGTGAGAAGGAAGTAAAGGAACAATTGTGATAGAAGATTGGAGAAGGCATGTCAGTGTCCCCTTCGTTTATGCATCCACAAAGTCAAGGTGTGTGTAGGTCATTTATAAGGAGATGCATGGCCTGAAAGTAAACACTCTAGTCAGTGGAGATTACTCAGCTCAGCAAAGGAATCCACACCTTTCAGACTCCCTGGAGGCAGATTGTTTTTTCTGATGCCAGTTTCTGTATGTGCTATCTGTCTTTCACTGATAAACCACAGAGAACTTCCTTTGTGTAGCTGGAAAATACTGAATGTATTACAGATGACTCTTGCCTAGCAATATGCCCATCCCCAATTGCTCCCTTGCCTCTTGGTGTCCTATTTGTTGCTTGCAATAGTCTAGTTCTACCTCCTACATTTCTTTTGAAATATATGAATTAGGTTTTGATCATTGGATTTCCATTGCACACAGGCACTTTGGTGACTATAAATTTATACCGTTAGTCAGATTCTGCCTAGTTTAACTGAGGCTGCCATTGATCAGCCTTTTATGGTGGGGGATTCTGAAATAGCATTTGGACACCCTGGGTAAAACTCTACATTTACAAAGCCAGTCTCTTGACCTCATTCTATTTTATTGACAATAAAGCACTTATATCTGGTGCCATATTTTTTACTGGGCCTTTACAAGTCCCTGTAATAAGGGAAAGGTGCACAACACTGCAAACTTTAAAGTCATATGGTGTATAAAATGAGTTTTGTTTTACATGCTCCAAGCTACATTATACCATTTCCCTTTTCTTTTGCTAAATACACATAGTTCATAACTAATAAAAATTAGACAGGAAAATCATTTTGTTTTATGTTCTGCTAAAGTTTTTAATGTAATATAAGAAAAATAACCAGTGCCAAAATTGATACTTCAAAGATAACAGAAAATTCAGAATAAAATGGATTACCAAAGTTCTAAAGTAACCATCCTGTATGGTTGTCTCTTTTGAATGTGATCCACAAAGTATTTGATTGACATTGTAGTGTTTTACAGGGCTGTTATAGTGGCGGGGCATTATAGTGAATATGAGCAGAGATGAATGCCATTGTCAATTAGCACTGGACAGAACTGAGGCTTAAACTGATAATCCAGTTCTGATTGAGCTAGCACACCTAGAAGAATCTGTGGATTCAGAATCCAACTTCCATAAGAATGTGGAAGTCCTCTGGCCTGCCCTCTCAGTAAGCTCTCCGGCATTCATAAGAACCCCAGGCCATGCTGCCATCTTCTTTTGTCCAAGGCGAAGGATCATGAAGGGAGGGTGTGTCTGACCCCTCCTCTGGGGAGAGGGGCACCACCTTGGGTTGAAGATCACTTGACATTGTCATGAAAGAAGTAAAGGGGTATGAAGATGGAGTGGAGTAGCCTGGTGTATGGTGCAGATCTTCCAACGTATGCAGCGGGTAGGGTTGAGCTCCAGCAAGGGATGCCCCCCATCCCATGCTCCTGTGTTGGGTGCTGCTTCCTGACTCCAGCTGGGAGAGGCAACTGGTGTTGGGTGGCAGGGTCTGCAGGGCATCTGCAGGCACAGGGTCTGGTTGACTGAGTCCATCCGGTGCTGTCTGTTCCCATGAGTCTCTCTGAGGAGAATGGCAAAGGCATGGGGATTATTCTTTAGTTGATGCTCTGAGGACAGAGTGCTGTCTCCGCAGCAGGAGGCATCCACAAAAGCTTCTGTGCCCTCTGCACCCTCCTGCACCCAGGCAGTCTTACCCTCTGGTGTTTGACTCAAGTCAGGGAAATCTGGGCTAATTTCTACTCTAGGATGTGATTCTGGAGCCCTACATTCCTCTCTATATAAGCGGTGGGAAGCAGTCAGTACCTGATTCCCATTGGGAGGAGTAGTCCTCCAATGATGTAGGGCTCCCTACCTCCTCAGCAGTACTGTCTTTGGGGTGGACTGAGTTCATCCACTGTACCACCTACCACCCTCTGAGCCCTTCATCTGTGAAACGGGGCACAAAATGGAGTTGCTGCAAATATCACATGAACAAAGGCCCATGAAAGTTCTTGTCACAGAATAAGGTTAATTCCCTGAACCACCCTTATTGTCTAAAATTCCACCTTCAGCGATTCATTCCTTTGTGTGGCAGGAGGCTTTACAGTGTTCTATAAAAGAAGTATTAGCAGCGTTTTTTTTTTTTTTTTTTTTTTTTTAGATCTTTCTGAACTTATTTCTTTGGAGGGATCAAGAGAGAACAAGGTGTGTGTGTGTGTGTGTGTGTGTGTGTGTGTGTGTGTGTGTATCTTTCAGAGGAATCTGTAGCAGTGAAGCAGAGGGAAAGGCAAGGAAGCACAGGATGAAATTGGGTGCATGTCTTTAGGGACATTGTCTAGTCCTATCTAGATGTGACTTCAACATTTGTTCCTTAGGGCCTACAGACCTGAGGAAGTCTTGGACTAATAGTGTGTGTGTGTGTGTGTGTGTGTGTGTGTGTGTGTGTGCCTGCGTGCGTGCATGTGTGTAGGGGCATTTACCAGAATAGTAACAAAATGAACATGACTTCTACCTTTACAGACCCCCCCCCCCCAGTTCAAAACCATAGATAGACTATTTTGATGCCTTGGTTAATGTGATCTTTGAGCGGGACTCCCTCGGAAGTGTCCCAGCAGAGCCACCCTGACTACATGTCTAGTTTTGAGCAGAGTGACCTCCTCCTGAATCGCCGGTGAGTTACATCTGGCTTCACCTTGCTTACCCTACACGAGGGCTGGACTACAGCAGCCGCCAGAGCCTCCCCTTTCTCCCTGCTTATGACATAGCAGTACTCACAAACACAAAGTGAGTTGGATCGCTGGGGAACGGAGGTGGCAGGAGTGGCGGCAGAGTTGAGGTGCTGAACAGGGAACTCGGTGTGGAGGTCAGCGCTGGTGGGCGGTACTCTCCATAGGGCTCTGTCAAGTAGGACTCCAGCAAGCCTGTGTGACTCTGCCCAGCCGAGGACTCACAGGCAAAGGGCTTAGTCACGCTGGAGGTATAGAGGTCATTTGAGAACTGCTTGCTGCTATGGAAGTCGGAATCAGACAGGAACGATCTCCTAACACCGTAGTAACCTGACATGACCGGTGATCCTGTAGCCGAATGAAAGAGAAATTGGCAAAAGTTCCAGGTAGAAAGCTCAGAGCATCCTGTGAAAAGATGTCCCGCACATGCGCCTGACATCACCGCTAACAAAGAAAGAAACATGCCTTGAATGGCATTCAATATTCCAGCAAAACTGTTTCAACCCAAATAATCAGATATACTTAAAGTTCACTCTGGCTTCAGGGATGAATTCATATTAGATGTACAATGACTTCACCCAGATAACGATTTATCAAGTATCTTCCAGTCCAGATACTTCTAGGAGGGGCATAGAGAGGTAAGTTAAAGAGCCCGTTGGTAGCATTAACTGTCAACTTGACATAGCCTAGAACCACGTGGAGAGACTCAAATAAATCTTTATGGTTGGTCTGTGTGCATGTATATGAGGGGTTCTTTTGATTATTAATTGAAACAGAGGGTGCCCATTGGGAGAGGCACCTTTCCCTGGGCAGGTGGCCCTGGGTTGTATAAGAAGCTAGGTAAGTTCAAGCCAGCCACCAAAATTCACCTACAGTGAATTTTGGCTCCTGCTCGAGTTCCTGCCCTGGCTCCCCTCAACGGTGGGCAGCAATGTGGAAGCTGAAACACTACCTTTCCTCCTAAAAGTTGCTTGTGGTCATGGTGTTTGTTGCAGCAACAGAATGAAGCTGGAATGTTTGGAATCTATGCCTTGCAATGGAACTATAAACATCTTTTCACAGCCTTTGAACTACATCCCATAACATACAGGACAGTTTCCAAGTGGCTCTTTCTGGGCTTCTTACATGAGGTAATGTCCCTCTAGAAATGATGACTGACACACAGCCCACCTCAAGCCCAGGACTGGTGTAATGTCTTCTGATTCTTTTGCACACTGATATTCACCATCATGTCTTACACCTAGCTGGCATAAGTAGGTGGCTTGCCCTGGGACAGTGTAGTTTCAGGGAAGCCAGTTTTTGAGGAAAAAGACAACCCTCCCGGATATTTCTGGCTTTGCACATCTACTGTTATTTGCTGCCCCCTTGTGGTCATACTGGATCCCTCGTTCACTTTGTATGAAGAGAAAGCTTGGTAGAGTTTTAAGAGGAACAGAGGGAAAAGCTGAAACTGGCAAGAGTCTTACTTAAGTAAAGACCAATGAAATGGTTCCAGGAAAGGAGACTGCACAACACTGATAGTTATTGAGAAGCTGTGTTCGACACAGACTCCAGGTCTGTGCAATTTATGGATTATCTACCCATATGGTACAGGGTGGGATCTCATTCACCAAGACCAACCCAAGGAGGTTGCAAAAGGAGAAGATGACATCTCTGTCTCTCGTCACTTCCCTCAACAACAGGGGTTTACATCTGAGCTTTGACCCCACCCCCACCTATTTCTTTAGAGAGAAGAGAAGCAAAGTTCACTCAGGCTCTTCCCCTGGGTGACTTGGTCACAGTGAGAGTCTGAGCCCCTTCCAGCCAACATGGTATTTTATATTTTGCTCTTTACTGTGTCACTGCTACAGCTATCTTGGCAGGGGGCTTAAGAGCTCCGTGGTAGTAGATCAGTTCCCATGTACTGTCTGGTCTGGTAGCCCAGAAGTGGAATGCTGCATTCAATACTCCATGCAAATGTATTCATCCAGAGGGGGCAACCAAGTTTCCAAGCAAACCCTTTGGTATGCTTCAACTCACTACACTTCCATTTTAAACTCACCAGTTTCCAGTTTGTCTGTACATTTGAACTCCGTGGCGGCAGTTTTAATTATAAACACACTTTCCTGGGAAAGAAATCTGAGCAAATGAAAAGTCATGTGGTGAAGTTATCCCGAGAATTGGTGAAGGCAGGGGAACAGAGTGAATAGGTAGACAAGACTTCCAGGATGGCACAGTTATATTTTCGGTTTCAAAATACAAAACAATCATGAAGAAAAGCCATCTGCTTTCCTAAGTGTATCTGTTTCTCCTTTTAAAAAGAGGAAAAACATTCTAGACGGCAGGAGAACCAGCAGAAGCTCCCTTCAGTACAAAGGAGCAGATGCAGGCACATTCATGTGGAAGTAAACGCGATGGGAAAATACAGCAGGGACATTCGGTTATGGGAAGCTTTGGAAACTCCTTTTCTTACGCAACTTGGAAAGTGCTAAATCACTCTGGAGTTTGAGATCTGGAAGGAATAGTGTCTGTGTGGGGGGTTGAGGTTGTGTGTGCAAGGGTGTTTACTACTATTAAGAATATTCCTTTCCTATCCTCACAGAATGTTGGAACTGAGACACACAAAACTGACATGAACACAATACACCAAACTCAGTGTGTGGCGCACCACGGAAAGTACCTAATCAACGAAGTCCCCACCCCTAATGTTTCTTTCTCTTTCTGCCTACACTGGGCACATCATCTATCAGATCATGGTATGAGAGTTTTAGATGTTTTAACCCTGTACCAGAGCCTGGTTATTACTGCTTTTGCCTAAAAGCTACTGCCAGGCAGGGTATCAAAAGAGGCCCGGATCTCAAGACCTGAAGCACTAAGTTCAGGATGATTCAATGAGATTTGTCTTCCTTGATTTTTTTTTTCAAAGAGGAAAAAAATGAGAAAGTGATGGGAGGCAGTTATCAAAACATTGGAAACTCTTGGCTGGGGATGTAACTTGGTGATAGACTAGTTGCATAAAGTGTGCATAGCTTTGGGCTTGGTGGTTCTCCATGCTGGAAAACAAAACACAAATGCTCAGTTGCTGCTTAAAAGTGAGTGAATTGCTTGTTGAATGAAAGGTCTCACCTGGCATCTGGACGAACGGAGGCTGGGAGGAGCTGACACTGCCCTGGAAAACAAACAGAAGGCAGATATTTTCCTCTTTAGTGACAAGCTTGAATTTAATTTTAAAACCAGGAATATATTTTCCCAAACTATCCTTTCTTTCTGCCTTCCCTCCTTTCTTTTCTGGGTGTGGATGTGTGTTTGTGCATATGTGCAAGTGTGTAAATACACATATGTTCACATGTGTATGGAGGCCAGAGGTCCACAGGTTAACCTTATATGTTGTCACTAGGATGGCTAGCTGGCTACCAAAGTTATTTGAGACAAGTTCTCTCACTGGGATCTGGGCTTTTCATATTAGGCTTGACTGGCTGGCCAGTGAGCCCCAGGAATCCCCCTGTCTCCACCTCCCCAGCATTAGAAGAAGTGTGAGCATATATCACTTTGCCAGGCTTTTTGCATGGCTTCTGGGGTTTTAACACAGGTCTCCAGGTTTGTGTGACAAACACTTTATGAACTGAGTTATCTCTTCAACCTCCAAACTCTTATAGTTTGATTCTTAGAATGTTACTTGAAGATTTGGAGATGGACAACTTAGAGTTAGTATTCAAGTACTATAGAACAAAGTTTTTGTTTTTGTTTTGATACAGGGTTTCTCCGTGTAGCTCTGGCTGTCCTGGAACTTTCTCTGTAGACTAGGCTGGCCATGAACTCACAGAGGTCTGCCTGCCTCTGCTTCCCAAGTGCTGAGATCAAAGGCATGCACTACCACCAGCCTGCTTAGAATAAAGTTCTACAAGGAACAGAGAGAAAACAAATTTTTAGTTTCTGATAAACATCCTGCCAACAAGCATTAGCTAGATGAAACAGAATGATTCATCCCATGTTTTACTGCTTGTGTCAGTACTCATTCATAAATAAAATATTTGTTAGACAGTGTTCCATATGCACATACATGTCAGTGTGTTTGCATCCTTATATGGAACTGGCATTTGGCTTCGATTCCAAATGGCCACATTTTATTGTAGGCCTTCATGCAAAGTGGATAATCCACAGAGTGCAAGAATCATGAGTGTGATTTGTCTTTCTTTCTCTAGGTGGAGCATGGTTCATAATAGACATAGTAAACATTTGTGGAGTGAAGTTACAGCTTGAGTCAGGGTTTCTCTGTGCAACAGCCCTGGCTGCCCTGGAACTCAATTTGTAGATGAGGCTGGCCTTAAACTCACAGAGACCCACCTGTCTCTGCCTCCATGGCTGGAGAAGATGCGGTTCTTAAAGAGCACACAGAGCAGTGATTGTGGAGGGTGGGGAAGTGGTAGGCAGGGCATTGTTCTGTTGAAAGATTGGATGACTTTACATTTTATGAACTGTGTGTATGTATGTATGTATGTGTGTGTGTGTATGTGTGTTTGTGTGTATGTATGTGAATGTGTGAGTTTGTGTGTGTATGTGTGTGCATGTGTATGTGTGTGTATATGTGTGTGTGTCTTATGGGAGGGTGCATTGTGGCAGTCAAAGGACAACTTGCAGGAGTCAGTTATGTCCTTCCACCTTCAGGGTACAGAACTTCCTCAGGCTTGGAGGTGAGTGTTTCTACCTGCTGAGCCCCAACACTGGAGTCTAACCTCAGTTCCTAGTAACTGTAATTGAAACTTATTTAGACATAAGATCTTTGAAGGTATAATTACTGAAGACGTGGTTATATTGAATTAGAATCAACCCCTGATACCCTATGACTGGTGCCCTTATAAGAAGAGAGGAGGGGCTAGATAGATGGCTTGGTGGATAAGAGCATTGGCTGCCTTTCCAGAGGACCCAGCATTCACATGGTGACTCCCAACCATCTGTAACTCTAGGTTCCAGGGTATCTGTCGTTCTCTTTTTGGCCTTTGTGGGTACTGCATGCAGGCAATAACCATACACATAAAAACAAAATTTAAAACTTTTTTTTTTTTAAAGAAGAGATCACTCAATGATACAGACATGGTGAGGGTCATATGGAGATAATGAAAATGTGGTGACTTCACCTCAAGACTAGGGATCAAAGCTGGCTGGTGGAGACTAGGAGGAAATGAGAAGGATTCTTTCCAGCAGCAGTCAGGATCCAGGATATGCTGACATCTTCAGAACCAGGAGACAATGTATTTCTGTTGCTTTAAGCTATCTCCCTTGAGGCAATCTGTGACTGTCGCTGCTGCGAGAGACTGAGGATGCACATGATTGGGGAAGATGAATGATGTGAGTTTTAGGGATGAGTGGGAATGTTCCAGAGGAGGGGTGCTGTACTGGCATCAGCATGAAGGGTATCTAGATGTTCAGTTTTAGGATATTACAGATGGGGGCTGGGAAGTCAGTTCAGCATTTGCTGTAAAGTGCCAGGATGTGAGTCTGGATTTCCAGAAGCCATGTAAAAAGCTGGGCAGATAGCATGTGCTTATAACCATCACCCTAGGAGTAGGAGTTGCAAACAGGTGCAACCCTGAGGCTTGATGGCTAGCCAGTCTGGCTGAATCCATGAACTTCAGGCTTAGTGGGAGAGCATTTGAGAAAAGAATTTAGCAGTAACATGAGGCCTCTATGTGCACAAGTACACATGTGCACACACCACCCATGCACATGAAAGCATACACACTGTCACAGACAAAAATAAAAACGTGAATATTACAAAAGCAAATGCTAGCTTCAAAACAGCCCTGAGTTAAGAAGGTAGGGAAAATACCTTTCAAGGAGGTTAAACATCCTTAGCATTGAGACCTCAGGCCTGAGCTCTTAGCTTATGCCCTCAAGATTCCACAGACTCTCAAGAGCTGGAGAGGTTTCAAAGAATCTCATTCAATCATCCTGCATGCTTCTAACGCCCTGTATCCAACCTCATATGATAGAACTCAGTGCTCTGGCTGTTTCTCCACTCTCGATTTTTTTTTTCTCCTAGAGATCCCTGATTTCATAAACTTGGCAGGAAATGGTTTCTCTCTTTCCTAATCAACTCTTTAGAATAAATTTAATTTTTATTTCATATAGAGCTTTTCAAATATTTGGAGATAATCCATCATTTTTGAACTGTCTTGTTCTCATGTGTGCCTGTGTGTACACTGTTTATGTGTGTGTGTGTGGGGGGGGCACAGGCACGTGTGTGTGTGTGTGTGTGTGTGTGTGTGTGTGTGTGTGTTTAAAGACCAGAGGAGGTCAGTCTCATCCATCTTGATTTCCAGGGCAAGGTCTCATTGGGACCCTTGGGGATCAGTGACTGAGTCTGGCTGGCCAGCAAGTCCCAGAGATCTTCCTGTTTCTGTCTTCATGGCTCTGGAGTTACAAGCATGTGCTGTCATGCCCAGCTTTGTATGTAGCTGCTGGCTATTAAACTCAGGTTGGCATGTTTGTGTGGTAAGCACTTTACCCATGAACAGCTTTCTCAAGAGCACCCTACTGATGCTCTTAGTCACTCTATCTGCTACAATGCATAATACAGACTAGGGGCTCAGCACTTTATTCCACAGTTCCAGAGACTGGGAAGCTGAGGCCTTGTTCCTGGTGAGGCTTCCTTTCTGGTTTTCAGTCTTCTGAGGTCATGTATCCAATATGCTAATTGGCTCTAAGTCTCCACTTCCAAATACCATCATGCTGGGGGCTAGAGCTCCCTTCTAAGAATCTTGAGGTCTCAATCACTCAGCTCATAGTACTGATTTTGAATTCTTCATTCCAGGTAAAATATCACCATGCAACCACTCAATGGCAGCATAGTATTTAAGAGTGAAGAATCTAAAACTTATATGTCTATGTTTGAATCCCAGGTCTGCCTCATTTTTGGGTATATGAAAATTAAATTAGAACATAGGTGTGGAGTGCTTAAAATTGTACCTGGCATACAAGTAGCCAGTGCATGCTAGATGGCTGTTGTTACAATAGTCCCCCCTCTTGTCATTGAGGCATAAATATACTATGTTTTTCCTACTTATATGTGCTAATCAAGTTTAGCTTATAAAGCAGGCTCAGTAAGAGATTATTAATAAGAATATAGAAAAATTAATACAATATTCTGTAATAAAATTGCCAGCATCACTTCTTTCCAGCTTTGGAGTAATTATTAAGTGCAAAAAGGACGACCCAAACCTAAGCACTGAGATATTTTGATATTGGCCTGGTATCCAAGAAGCATCTCTCCTTTTGCTGTGCTGGGTGGAGATGGAACCTGGGCTTGTGCATTGCATGTGAGCACTCTACCACCTGGCCACCTCCCCATCCCAAGGAGAAAGCTTGTGGATGATTGGAGTGCAGATGGCATTTATGTTTCAGACACACTGGACAATGGTAAAATTCATCTCCTGGGCAGGACTTGGTGTCTGCTACTCATCATGACACACAATGTGAGACTTATGAATTACTCATTTATGGAATTTTCTACTGAATATTTTTAAACTGTTGTTCTCAGGGGCTGTCTTAGACCCTTTTACTTGTTTTTGGGACTTCTCAAAGTGAGTTGCCTTGATCAGGCTTAATATGTAGGGAGGTGCTTAGTCTTACTGCAACTTGATATGCTGTATTTTGTTGATACTCATAGGTCACCTGCCCTTTCCTGAATGGAGACAGAGCAGGAGGGAATTGGGGGGTTTAAGGAGGGAATGGGGGAGAGGGACTAGGAGGATGGAGGGGAGGCTGTGGTCAGGATATAAAATAGGTAAGTAAAAACAAAACAAGATAACAACACCAACAAAAGTGCAGATCTCAGTGAGTAACTCAAACTGTGAAACCATGGGCTGAGAGGATGAGTATAATACAATTTGCTTTTGAGACTATGTAGTCCAAGTAGGCCTTAAATTCAGGCCTGTGCTCTGTCTGCTGGGAGTACAGGTGTATACTGACACCCCTGGATAAATTTTTTAAGTGGCAGACAGGAACTCATTGGATATGCAGTGTCCAGAGAGGTGCAGGTTAGGGTCCCCTAACATGTGTTCAACTAAATCATAGATAAGCTGGGCCTGGGCACATGTTTCCCATGGTGCCAGGCCCCCTGCTGTTGAGCATTCCCTATCTGTTTCTTATTGTCTGTCAGTGTCTCTCCCA